TCTTCCCATGGAGAGTAGACACCCAAGCTGTCGTTTCCCACAGGTTTCTAGTCCACCAGTCCTACTTCTCCTTCTGCATCACTCCCCACCCCCATACACTAAGTGAAGAGAAACTGAAAAAATTGGCTATTAAATAAAATTTTCAGAAGTATTTCTATCTAACATTGCTATTATCATTCAGTTCCTGACTGACATAGTCTATAACAAAAAAAGAGAGTCATCGTTAACTGACTCCTAATTATCAGTTTCTAAAGGAACATTAAGAGAGAAAATGGGGGGGGAAAAAAAAAAAAAAAATCTTTCCTCACAACTAAAAAGGAGTCTGTCAAGCCAGGTCTGAGGTACAGCGATGGGACAGATCTTAATGGGGTGTCTCCAGAAAAAAATTGGATCTTGACCTTTTTATCTGCCAGATCAGCACCCTCCAGCACAAATATATTCTTGTAAACGGCACTGGGAAAGTTAGGAGGGACTGGTTTTGTCAGATGTTTGCATACCTGAGTAAACTAGGTTCTTCCCTTCCAGAACTTGACCGAGCATTAGGCATTCTGCTTGCCATTCAAACATCTGTACTACTCCCAGACTGTGGTATTTCTCCAGAACTGCTTTGGGAAGACCCCAGCTTGCAAGGAGCAACTTGTCTGCTTGGTCTTCAGGAACATTTACCCGCTGATGCTGCCCTTTGGGAGGAGAAAATAAAAAAATAAGTCAGGTATCATCCTTGAATCTGAGGTCACTTAGGTTATACACCTAAAGGTCAAAATTCTCTACAAGCTCCTGTATTATGAGAAAAGGTAATAAGAAACTATCTTCCCTATGTTTTTATATATTTCCTATGGATGTTTCACCATTCTTCTTATCTCCTGATATTTTTTCAATTTTTCCTCCTATAAGGTTTTCCACATTCAAATCGTTTCTTCACCAAACTCTCACTCTGATATTTGCTTTTGAGACACAGCAGCCATTACCAAATACATACTCAAACAGAGTTTCCGCATTGATTAATATAACAGCATTACAATGTGTTTGCCATCTCATCTAGACTGTTTCCTTTCTAAATTACTGCTACAGAAGACTTCAGTAATCCTGACAGATTACAGAACTGCCCAGGCTTTTTTCTTGCTTTACGGGTGAATTAAAAAAACAACATAAACCAAACAAGCAGCTCAAGCTCCTCTGCACAATGCGCGCAACTTCAGTTTATCAACACTGATTAGTATTTTTACCACATTGCCCGTTCCCCTAGCTTAATTAAGTTCCTTGCTGTTTACTTCTTGTCTTTATAACCCTAAATAATTTTGTGCCGGCTACAGATATTGCCTTCTCCCTCCCCTCCTCCTTCCTTTTTCCAAATCATTAAGAAAACTCAAACTTTTTGTCCCTTTCCTCGTCTAACGAAAATGGGTTTCTGATCCACAGTAATGCCTCCCCTAAAACCCGTGACTATATGGTTCCCATAACAGCATTTTTTGAAAGACCTTGTCAAATCAAGATGAAAAACAAGCAATTGTGTGTACTGACTCTACTGTACCCATTCTTTTACTGGCACATTCAAAAAATTCTAAAATAAATTCCCCGCATATAAGGGGAGGCTTGATTGGAAATACTAGTGTGCATAAGCAGCCAGTATTTTTATTCTCAATACACTAAAAATTTCAACTGCCTTCTTGAGGCTAACTCCAACCTAGCTGTTAGTGGTGCATGATCATTCTCCCCCCCCAAATATATAAAAAAGCTGATATAGCTTAGCTCTGAAAGCTTTGTTTCACTTTGTATAGGCAAAGTACCATACAAATACTAAACAAGAAGTGGAGCAGCATCAGGAGAGAACAGCAGTACTCCACAAAGCAGAACCGGCTTCCCAAGGGGAATTTAGAGCAGACCAGATTTGTCTATCCTAAAATGTGACTAATATGGCAGAATTAGAAATCAGAAACGGAAAAAGAAAAAAACCCTACATGATGGGATCTCAAGCTTCTTTCCTAATGTTAAAACCAATTAACTACATGTAAAAGTTGGAATGAGTAAAGGATTATGCGATTCTGCTGTTTGAAGGGTATCTATAGATTAGCACTGAACATGAGTTTGAAAACCTGTGCCTTAGGGGTCCTTAAAGATCTATGTACACAAGTATACCACTGACACTAACCTCTTTTTTAACTACTAGGAAAACACTTAAGAAAGATACATGTTGTTGGTTAAAAGCATTGGGCATTAGATTTTTCTGAAAGAAAACCCTTCCAGAATGTGGGGCCAGCTGGACAGAGGAGTGCAGCTTACTGAAACATCTCTGAGGAGTTGTCCTGTGGAAATATACGCACTGCCTTGCTCAGCTCCATTTGCAGAAGCTGACAAAATTGTATCTTGCAGAACATAATCACATCAGGGAGAAGATAAGACACGACTAGACACGACTGGAAAAGAGGCTGAGAGATGTAAACGTTTTAGAGAGTTACAGAAAAACTGCAAAAGAGGTGAAGCTACAAGGCGTTACACAAACATCTTAATTTCAGATGTTATATGCATATCAATGCTGTATACATCTTGATTTCTGTCTTGACTCAAGAGCACAATAAGCTGGTAAAATGTATTGCATCCAGAAGCATCATCTTAAGTGGTCCTGGCTGGCAGCAGGACCACTTTGTGTGACATCTTGCCACAAGATGTTTGTATAACACCAGATGTTTGTATAACACCTTGTATAGACAGGCAAGATGTCGTATTAAAAAAACCTTACTACACATCTCTGCATTTGCAGGTATCAGGGCATCAACCAGGACCACTTAAAGTGATGCCTCTTGATGCAATACGCTTTATCAGATTACTGTATTCTTGAATCAATCAAGTAACGTAGGTAAACCTCGCCGCATATACCAAAGAATACAGACTATACTGATTGTTGTATTATGGTAGCACCTAGAGGCCAAGTCAAGAATAAGGCCCACTGTTAAAAGACATGCAGTGAAACGAGCCCGACCTCAGAAGCATGCACAGAACATTATTTTTCTTACCTTCCTCAACTAAACAGCGAATAGGCCAGGAAGATCCTTCGCTTCGTGTTTGTACCCTACCACCCTTGTCAACATAAGCACATACCTCAGCTGCAGCCGCTGCCCCGCAAGGGTGAAAGGAGCGGGCGAAGCGCCGGTGCTTTCGCCCGAGGGCAACGGCCCCGCACCCTGGGCCGGGAGCGTCCCGGAGGGTCCCCGACGCCTCCCAGCACCGCCCCGGGCCGGCGGGAGGCGCCT